CGTGGAGATTTATATGAGTAATAACTTTTGAGGTACCTAGTGATATAAAACTCGCTAGCCCGGTCGCTAGTACGAGGTGTTATTACATCCGAAATACCAGTCAAGCGCGAGATAAATTACAAAATGTAAAAACTCCCACATCCGGGTGACTCGGAAACGAAATGGATAATTTCGCGACGCGGGAATAAAAAAAATATGCGAAAATATTACTTCGAAATGGTTGCGACGCAACGGATTTTGGAATGACATCGAGTTTCCGCATTAGGGGCCACGAAGTGCCACAACAAATGCATTTGATCCCAACTCGATGCGTTACAAATATTTGCCCGTTGGCCTCCCGTGGGAAAGGCAGCATACACTCTCTAGCGTTCATATTATGATTTTTACATAGAATTCGTGAACGAGAATTTTTGTGGAAATGTGTACACTATGTTACTGGTACTTTTAGAATATTTCTCTTACTCGTCAGATAAATTATATACCAGTAGGACCACTCTACCAGATTGTCTGACGACGAGTGGCTCAACAATGGACAAATTTAATTTAATTTAATCGCAGCATTAATCGTGTTTTATTGATTGAGTTGTGTAGGTACATCGGTAGTTTGTGATTAGTTTCAGTGTCTCAATTTGGCCGTGTTAAATGGCTCACCTGTACATTCAATGCTGCGAAGATTACTTATAAGATGTTAAAGAGAAAAATAAGAAGGCCGAAAATAGGTTCGATCTCGAGTTTTGGAGCATTATAGAAAGTTTCTTTGATTTGAACGGTGGACTTCTTTTTAATTTTTGAATCAAACACAAAGATTATGTCGAATATTCGATAAACATCTTTAAACATTGTTCTTTACGTGTGTAACGTAATTTTGAATTCGGATGAGTAATTTTAAATTTCGAAGCACGCGTGTGTCATTTCTTTTTTTACAAGCGAAGCGCTCACGCCCTTCGCGTATTAATCGTTCACCTGCCAATGCGTCGATGACAGCTTATATTAATGGTCTGTGGTCGTGTGAGAACTGTCAACTTCGAAGGCTTTGTTGTGACTGTTGTTCGAAAAGAAAAAGTTAATTTTACCACATGTATTATACTCAGTTTTGTTTTCAATTTTATGATATTTTATTAAGAACACATTTAAGCGATGTGTAAGAAGCCGTGATACTATCAAATAACCTCCAAATATCATCGCGGTGGTCGGTGACAAGCTTATTTGGACTAGCGTGACACGTGGTCAGTCTGTCACCGCCTCAGTGGTTAATATTCACGTAATCGCATTACGTTCAAAACACGGGTTAGTAAGCGATTGTTGGTAGGGTCGAAATAATTTACGTTCTAAAACAGATAAAAATCCAAAAAAATTTTTTTTATCGCACGGTATACTGAAGGGTGAGATTTTTGCCATTGCACTGATTATTTTGACTACGATTTTTCGTATTGGACATGAGCCTAATCCAATGTACCAGATCCTTGGCATTGCATGCATAGTTAAATTATTAACGACCTAGTTTGGATCTGATTACCTGCTCTTTACCTTATGTACATTGCATTCTTCGCACAGAATAAGCATATCACAAAAGAAATGAAATTTTAGGGTTCTTATGGTTCAAATAATCAATCAACCAGTAACTAGCAATTCTTTTAAATGACTAATGGTGTTTTCTAGCAAGTAATAAAGACTGAGAGTTCAAGAAACGACTCTAATAAAGCAAGTAATGCGCAGATTGACTGCTCTAAGTGGTAGCTTAATTTGATAATTTAATTCAGTATTCTTATTTGGTCAGGGGATGAAGAGCATTTGTTTTTCAAAGTTCTTCACAATTTTGTACAATATACAAACAGCGTTTAGTAACATTTGAGACATATTGCTTCATGTTTTAATTGTAGAATATTGTTAAGACTATTTTTGCTGTGAATTTATATCATAGGCTGAGGTATTCCTCAACCCATGATATAAATTGTGTATGCCAAATGTGTTGGACAAAACGTTGGTCAAATATGTTTACCCACAAAATCAATGTTTGCTATTGCATTGTTGGTTACAGTTTCACTGCGACCGACAAATGCACAGTTCCCTTAATAGATAATCGTATATTAAATTTCTATATCAACACCCAGCTTTGCCCACCATAATAAGGTCTGCAACGAAATATATTAAAACACGAAAAGAGTTACAACTCTTGTTTCGCTAGATATGTTTTCCAGTTAAAGCTAAGCGATAAAGCTTATGCTGCCCTTTGTTTTACGTTCGTGAATATTAAGTTCGCTTACCATTAGTCGACACGCGTCGAACGATGTAAAATTGTCGATTCGCTTGGTTACCGTCAGCTTTAACATTCATTTTATTACAAGAAAAAAGTAAAGTTGAGGAAATATTTACTACACCATTGGTAAACAAGTAAATATTTCCTCAGATATCGATCTCTTCTAACTAAGGAAAAGAGTTACAATTCTGAATGTTTTGCCTTTTATTCTTTACTTTTTACTTTATACCTTTATAGGAACTTAACGTGGCTTATTTGTTTTAAACGCGATTTTAAATTCCCTTCCATTCATTTTGTCTTTTTCACCGCCCATGGTCACTGGTCATAGGTTCTTCTCATATGAAGTTTATTTGGATAGGAAACATATCGACATTTTGCTTTCTAGAAAATTCTCCATATATATTATATGAAGAGCTCGCCGAGTATTTTTGATTAGAGACCGTTTTTTGCTGACTCTTGTCCAGATAAGAATCTTTTATGAATGCCCATATGCTCTAAGTGAGTGATTCTCAACCTTTTTTTTTGTTGCGGCACATATTTAACGATTTCAAAATTTGGCGGCACACAAAAAAAAGATAAAAATTATTGACTTACTACAACACACTGCACAAATAGTTTATGACAAAAATTTTAAATATACGAAATAAACTAATATATACTACAATAATAACTAAACGTTTATTAAGGGATTAATTACAAAATTAATATTAAAAATATTTTTAATGCGAAATTTGAGCTTGATGTTTTTTGATAATTTAATTTATATTTGGTCATATCGTCTTCTACATTTACCAATCTTGATCTTTTTTTAGTTTTAATGTTGGCTAGTGCCAAAAAATATTTTTCTATTTAAATGATATAATTTAATAATATTAACATTATTATATATTTGCAAAATTTGGCGGCACACTTTTGAAATTTGGCGGCACACAAAAGTGCCGCGGCACAGTGGTTGAGAATCACTGCTCTAAGTGTTGAGACGTAACGATACCGTGAAGTATTAGACGACATGAGACTTGACGTTGTGGTTATGTTTCACACGTAGCGAAGCGGATAGTTTTGTTCATTTTTTTCATTTAATTTCTGATTATGAACACATCAAATTCACTGACTGCCGCAGTTTTTTCTAAGAGTTACACGTGTAATTCAGTCATTTAACGTAAAAATGCCCTTCAATCAAGAATCCGACAACAATTGGACATCAATTGGGCTTCAGCTACCAGAGCCGTTAAGATGAGGGCAGGTACAATGTTGAAAAACATTGTTTTATTAAATTTTAAAAAACCCGATCACATATTCCTGAAAATAAACAAATCGGAAAGTTTGCGGTGGCCCCTATTTTGTTTTGAATAGTATATATATCACCCACAGCTTTTCTACGGGCTCTGTATCCGATGAAGCTAAGCCACTTCAAAAGTGGAATCGCACAAATGTCACAACAGAGACAAAGACAGACACATTCCAATTCGAACCGTGAAAGTACAACAAATTGCCGATGATCAATCGAAATAAAAAACATACTCCAATATCTGATAACATTCAACTGGCAATATTATGATGTGAGTACAAATGTGTACAACGCACACAACAAATCGTAGTGCGAATACAAAACAGGCAACGCACAAACTCATGTCGCCTGTTGTTTCAACGTTAATTGCAAATTTCACGAGCTCGCTGTTCGTAGTTTGGCGCCAATGCAATTATTGGTTAACAAAAAGGGCTTTAACCTAACAATGTAGCAGTTAACAGCGTAAAGAGGATTAAAATTTACACCCCGCTCGCTGGCAATAGCCGCATGTTTCGTAATTGACAAAAGAATCTAAAATCCTCGATCGTTTTTACTCCTGTAGTAATAGCACAAAGGATTGTAAGACCTTAAAATTGTGATGTAAAAAGGTTTGATGCTTTTTAGAACACGGATTGTTCATTTCAAAACAACACACATACATATCTTGTGTAACCTTAAAGACCCCGAAGAAGTTTACGGGATGGTAGTCAGAATGGAAGCCAGTTATTAACTCACTCTTTTGGGGTTTAACTCTAACAGCCTATATTGAATTTACAATGAGTGCCTGGTCACTGAGCTATGACGGCCAATGTATACTAACTCCGATAAATGGACCGCTTATTGGTGTATGCTAGGATTCGAGCCTACGACTTTCAAATGGCAATTCCAACTTATTGACCGCTAGCTCCGCCTGCTCGAGCCTTAATAAATACCGATAAACTGGAGAATGGCGGCAGCCGCGGCTGTTACGACTGTGAGTAAAAGTAAAGTAACAGCCTATACATGTCCCACTGCTGGGCAAAGGCCTCCTCTGTACAGAGGGTATCAGGGCATAGTCCACCGCGCGGCCCCACTGCGGATTGGCGGACTTCACATATCTTCGAAAATTATTTTTTTTTTGTTATTATTTCGAAAATATGCAGGTTTCCTCACGATGTTTTCCTTCACCGCGGAGCACGTGATAAGTCAGCACTTAAAGTTAAAAACTTCATTGGTGCCGGCACCGGGGATCGAACTCAGGTTGCTCGAGTATATTGAATTAAGGCGAGCGCCCGGACACTGAGCTATCACGGCTGTGAGTACTGATGTATTACATTCTAAATAAATCCCGTTTAGTCCGTTCAAAACATTTATATAGTAATAGCTTATTGTTCCTAGCGTCTTCCACAGATAGGTGAGATTGGGTCTACACCGCAACGATCGATAATTAAATCGTCACCACGCAACAAAGGCTTAAGACTCCGATGGCCCCGCGCTCGGCCGCGCCGGGAACAATTTGAGGGGCCCACCGATCGGCAGAATGCCTCGCTGGCTCCCAAAGGACATCGCCTTTTGATCAATAACTGTATATAAATTAAGCATATGCCCTTTGCCGCTCCGCCGAGCGCACCGGCTCGCCTTTGTGTCCCCGCTAATCGCCGAACCGCTTGCGCAAGATGTTTTCCCGATCGCAGCGAAGTTATGAGCATCTACGTCTATCGGGGTGTAGTGATAGTGCGGTGCTCTCCAACGGTTGCAGCTGCCGCGCACACCCACAATGGGCTACTCGAGGCGAATTAGACGCACGACGGCCCACGCAGAGATTAGCCGTTCACAATTAAACCTCCCGTCGCCAAGTACGACGCGGGAAGCGCCTTTGTAAGTCGAGATGTTTTCTTTTTTTTTTGTGATAAGTTGTCAAGCGAGCAGGCGGTTCACCTGATGTTAAGTGAATACCGCCAAACATAGACATCTACAACACCCGGGGGCTTCCAGATGTTAATAACCTTAAATAAGTGCACCCCGAATGCTTCACTCGCCAGACGAAACGACAGTTTAATGCCGGTTCGCGCCGGTCTTTTGTGAGGCCGTGGTACTTTCTCGGACGCGCCTTCCCGTTTGTGCAACAGCAGTGGCTGTATTCCCATCGCGCATCGATTGTACCGATTCCGCGCCCATCGTCAGCACGATCGACGCCGAGTTAAACGCGTACCATATAAATATGTAGGAATGCGCGCACTATGCATCAGATGCTATCGGCGGCGACTGTCAGCGGGGCAATTCCTAGTCGGGGCAGGCGATGCCCGTTGCTTACTTAATGTCGCCTCTCGATCTTTCCGCCCGCGATCCGAATTATGCAGTTAACTGTCTCTTTGATGTGCGTAGGTGTTTATAAATTAGACCGGTTTCCACGGAAGCTCCCTACGCCGCCGTTGATAGCTTGCGACCGCGCTGCGGTTCTATGGAACTCGGACGATTTCGAGCTTTCAATTATTGATGATGTCTGTCGTTATTATAATTTGATTCATGCGTTGTATCGAAAACCGTCTGCTACTTGGCATATTATGACGGCTTTTATCGTGTATAAGATAATTACAATATACCGCGTTTTGAATACAATATTTTCAACAAATTGTAGCACAGATACGATGGTGTCGTGATTTAAATATTTACCTCTATCAGTCCTACATATTACCACATCTTAATTTATGTACCTGTTGTAATTATTTAAAAGACAATTAAATAGGTAAGAAAATATACGTCACACCGAAAAGCGAATACACACATGCTGTACGTCGCCTGTCATAGGAGTCGAATAACACATTCCATTTTTAAAATATTCAAACATATAACTGGCACACAACTGTCGCGTAAGAGGCGATGATAAAAACAAAACCGTTCCCACACTGCTGTCGCTACCACAGATTACGAAATTGCCGAAGGCCGTGCGCGTCCCGGCGCCTTTAATCTCGCGTTTATTAGGCTGTAAAACTCCGATAAGGGGGGGCTAATCGAGCGCTTTGGCGACCGTTACAGTCATCGATAGGTGACTCGATCCTCGCCAGTTAGCGTCACTATAAAAGGCCGACGGGTCTTAAGCTGAGAGCATTGTAAATTATCATTCGCCGTCCATATATATTCCGTCGGCAGTGAGCAATCCGACCTCCTCAGACATTCTCGACTTTTATCACCGGCGTCTCGATTGCCGCGTAAAACAAAGAGACGAATTAGTAGTGAGTTATTGTGACTGAATACGCAAGCTCCAACCTTTTCTGCGACTGCAATTATAATATCTATTTATTTAATGAGGTAGGCAGCTAGCCAGTACTGTCGAGGAGACGGAGCTTTGTAGTAAGTCGGACTGCTGGTGAGCCACACGTCAAACATTACAAACTGGTTTATGTACGCCACTTGTGGACCTGGCAACGATATTGTTATAGATATAATTTCCTATATTTAATACAATAAATATTTTCATATCTTCTTCTGATCTTCTGATCTAAAATATATATAAAAGTTATATAAAAAATATCAAATTTAAAAAATATCGAATTTTAATATGACTCGGTGGCGCTGTTAGCTAAACTATTCAGCTTCGGTGTCGAGGGTCGAGGGTTCGATTCCCGCACGGTAGAAGTACTTATGTGACCCACAGATAATTGTTCCGGATCTGGCCGAGAGAGGGTTGACGTCAGGCATGCGGCCGGTTGTAAAAAGCATAGCCAAAACCGCTTACAACGTAACCCCACTTAGTTGGGATAAGGGCAGGAGGACGATGATGATATAAGGATTTTAATAGGAACAAAAATTTCTTACAAGAACGTTCAAGAAACAACTAAGTGAGTAGAAGAAATGTGTACTTAACATTAAACAACACGAAATTATATCTAAGGCGATACTAAAAGGCCGGCAACGCATTTGAAAGCCCTCTGGTGTGACAGATGTCCATGGGCGGCTGTGATCACTTACCATCAAGTGGTACCGTTTGCCCCTTTTTTCTATAAAAAAACTACATTTCGCTGTTCAAGAAGCTACTAATTTGTCTATAGTCTAATTTTTTGTTACCAACTCTTTATTTCGCACGAGCGAACTATTGTTGAGCCTTAATTTAAACAAAGCGAGTGTTAATAAATAGAAGCGACATCGCCCGTTCCACCTGCCAAATCGGTCCACACTGAAGAAGTCGAATGGTTTACGGCTAGCCAAAGCGCCCGTGCATAATTAAGTTTGATCGCTGTACACGATAGTTCGCTTTTTTTCTCACTTCGCGATAGCGGTATTCGCGATTTCAAAGCTTCATATCTTGCCTATACGGTGACATTGATGATTAAGTGTAGTTTTTTATTGGATCTTTTTTTATTTTTCTTTTATTACAGACTAGCTACAGCTTGAAATAAACTTTAAATTAGTAGCTCTTTATTATCAATGAATCACATCTTCTTGTTGACAAGATTACAAATCGGGAGTATATGTGTATATTTATGGCGACAAATATCACTCTTCTAGTGCCGTGATTATCCAAGTTCTTTGCGCACTTACCGCAAAGGGAGTCAATTACTCGTTTCCCTATTATATTATATTCATCAGTATTTTTCACTGTGGTAGGACCACGCAGCAGCTGCTGTTGCACGAATGGGCAGCCTAGTCCGGTGAGGTAACAAGGCCTCACGGAAGACCAGCGTGAAGTGGAAGTATTATAATTTAGCATTTCGTCCGGTTAGTGAGGTAATCGGAGCTCACTTTTTTAAAAGTTTGCAATGCATGTAATGCCAATAGACATTACATGCGTTTCCAACCAGCAATAGGTGGCAGTAATCACTTGACTGATTAATCGCCTTATCGCTTGCCAAGTTTTCACATAAAAACATACCTAGTATAGTCATATCACACACCAAGGCAATGTTTTGATTTGAAAGACAAAACGTAACCAACCCCAAGTGAAACTTAGAGGTTGATCGATTAAATTATATAATATCTATTATACGAATGTTATTACGTTTAAACAATACCGTGTCGTCCTCATAGCCGAAGAAACAAAAGTAATCGATGTTAACAAGCGCCGATAGCATCTCGCATGAGAAATCGTCGGTCATTCGAAAATCGGCATGTCGTGTCCGCCGGAATGGCGTGGGGCAAAAAACCACAAAACAAATATCGGGCTCCTATCTCCGCTCCTATCTGCTTACCTGTTGCTGCAGCGGGCATCATCTCCTCGTTTCAAATGCTGCATAATGTTATAGTTTTGATATATGTAAAGCCATTACGAATAGCCGTGGGTTAAGAATAATAGCCAACTTTACGCGTCCAGTTAATTGCTGATGAGTGCTAAATAGAGAGGCCGATTTGTTGGAAATTCTAACCCCATACTTGATTCGATTATATCATGTGGAACCCATATGTATCAACTTCCTTTAATGTTGATTGTAAATAAGCAGACTAATAGTTGAAAACATGCAAAAAATAATGTTGGCAACAAGGAAATTGTAATTTTAACGTTATTAATTATGAAGATATTTCATTTCAAAAGAGCCGTGATACCTCATTGTCCGGATGCTCGCTTTTAATTTAACATACTCGAACAACTTGAGTTCAATCCCCGGTGCCGGCACCAGTGACATTGTTGGGCCTTTGCCGTGCAGTGGGACTTTTATAGATAGTTAATTTACTTTTTAATTTGAAAAAGAAGACCTTTACAAACACGATTGAAGTTAGATTGTATAATTATATATAGTTAGAAGAATATATAGTTAGAAGAATGGTTCCAAAGATTTAATAACAAGACTGAAACCCTTCGAAGTTCGGAATATGCATCGCGCCGTATCGAGTCAGCTGTCCACGGAACATTCTACGCATACCACTCCGGGGCCGTCGTTATTTCAATTACCCGCGTCCCTCGTCAAAGACAAAAGACCTGACACGGGGAAAAAACCGTCGACAAAAACTTCGGGGAAAAAAAATGAGAAACAACGGCTCATCGCCGGAATTAGGAAGAAAAAAACAATCGTCTTATCTATGATTGGATCGCGGTCGTGTAAATGCACTCAAGTGTATTATGTTACCTTGAGGAGCCGGCCTTTCGTTTTCGGTAGCGTTCTTTGGAAATTGAAACTGGTATAAGCCTTTTTTTACACCACACTAGCAACACTGTGGTCCGGTGCTTATCGTAATAGCCCTTATCAATGGCCGTTAACGCTGAATTAAAGGGAACACCGCCGTGGAGTTTGGAGATGTGGACACTCTAGACTCTGACTTTGCTTGGGTTGAGATCACACATTCAGAAGTTCATCGCTTAATTGCCACCTTTATGGTTTGACCTTATCGGTCAAACCACTAACTGGTTTCCTGTAGGCTTTCATGTTTAATCCAAAAGTACGTTTGGGTATTAAAATTTAGAATAAGGTTTTCAAGCGGCTGTAACATGTTTTTTTTTTTTCTTTTGTAAAAAAATTTTAATAGAAGAATATCAAAATTATATGAGAAAGTAGTAGAGTAGAAGATATTACAGTGTTCAATTGGTGCAAAGGCCATAGCCTCGTAATAAGTTCTGGATAAGAATTTATTATCAATCAAAGAAACTATTGTATATGTATAGTATACATATGAAATGTGTAATATATGCCACAGCATAACAGTAAAACAGAAAAAGATAAAAAGAATACCTAATAATTTTTTTAACAAAGACGGTAAGTACCGCAGTTTGTTACAGAGTTATAATCTTAGTCAAAATTAAGGCGATATTACTATATCATCGAGATTCATTTTTGTGTTGCCAGTTAAGAATAGAATGAAACTAAAAATAAAGACTAGGAGAAAAGCGCCAACACAGCGGAACAAGGGGATTAACTTCTAAGGAGTTCCTATATTTTTTGCCTGGTGCGATCCGTTGGGAGCTCTAAACGGTGATATGGTCGCAAGGTAAATAACCGTAATAGCCGTGGCGGGCACAATGCACCCCCGCTGCTACCGTCGGGGGTTCGAGCCCGCGGACCACTTTTAATTACAATATCACCCGCATTAAAAAACTTTTTGCCGCCCGACAAAAAACGTTGCGGCCTTCCGCAGCGGCCATCGAATAATTGGCCGCAGATACTATTCAAAATGCTTTTTGTACAACAACTCGTAAGCGGTTGGCATTAAACTCTGTGATTATACAATTGGTAACAGTTTATTCAATCCATTTTTGTCATACATCTACCGTAGACAATTACGTCGTACACGACTAGTTCTTTTTGGATACCTCATTGTTTTGGTTGGTCTCGCATCTTGCCAACTGTCATTGATCGTGTTACAGATTCGATCCAATACATGAAAGGCTGAAAACTTGTGTGAACCTTAAATATAATTATTTTTCTTGTCCAAGTGCAGGTGGTGTCGGTGATTTTTATGTTTGTGAAATTTACGCGATAAAGATAAATGATTTCCTAGCGCGAGAGTATTTTTCTCAAAAAAAATCAAATAAATAAAAATTTATAAAAACCTTTTGATAGTTTATTACGTTAATTATAAAATTTGATACAAAGTCGGATAAAATATAAAAATTTATTTGGAAAGCCGTGTCACCTGAAATGATGTAATAAAACCACGCGTCTTATGCCAGCCACGTTCCAAAGAAAACAAGAAACAAGAAAAGATCAACAAATAAACTCCGCATTGTATAGTTCAATTAATACATAAATTAATTCATAATTTAAGCATTAACGGGCAATTAATATGTACAGCTGCTACAGACGTTGCTTTTCCTTCAAGAAATGTAAGCGATAATGGTGTGAATATAAACTTTTGTTACGAGTCTTCATCGCTTAAGAATTTGATTTTTGGTATAAAATTAATAATACTTTTACAAGTAAGCATTTGGTTATCGACGCAAAACAAACTTTTCAAATTGTGGTCCAACATCATTAAGTTTAACGCTATAAGATTTTTTAACCCACAGTATGTAAAAATTGTCTAAAATCTATTCTTTACCATAAAGCTAATAAAAACAGTATTATTCCGGGATTTCTAAACTACTAAAGAAACTATGCATATTCTGCTGTATGGAGTTTCTATGTGACAACCTTTTTTTAATAAAAAAAAAAACTTTCGATTCATATAATAAGTAAGATTTAAAAATTTGACGCTGAGAACCGTTTCACAGCCATTTACAATTATTTGCATTAATTAAATTATAATCGCAACTATTGAGCAGTGACAGTAAGTTCATCATAATCTATTCAACTGCCCTAGAAAAATGCAAGTCCATAGGATTAATGGCATCTCTTCTGATACATTATCTATCTTACGTGGTACAGGCGTCTTAGAGACGCTTGAACTGTTCATACAAACCGACATATGTACCGAAACCCAACACACTTCGAACAGTGCTCTTTTTGAAGTAATAGAGCGTTACCTCACTAGCAGTCCCCAGTACATTGTCATAATACATGGTCACCTTTTGTTAACCCTTCAGCCGCATAACAGACACGCGTACACGCAAACTTTCGTATACAACCGTGCGTTGGAGCTAGTCCATAGATCTGAATAAGCTGGTACTCACGAATCCGTGCTTGTCGCTGATGTTGTTGGTCAGCTTCAGCTTGTGGAAGGAGACGACCTTCTGCATCCACTGCTCGCCGGTGGAGGGCGAGTCGGGGTGGATGTACATCCTCTTCGGCATCTCAGGGTCCGCCTTCCCGGCGACCATCCATCGGCTCCGGGAATAGAGGAGGCGCTTAGCAACTTCACGGTACAGTCGAGTGGAAATACGCTTAAAAGGATTCTATCGGTTTGCAGTATAAAGTGGCTCGTCTGTACTTTAAATTTAGAGGTCAAAAATTTGAGCAAAATCATAGTTTCATTTCTTTCTTTTGATTGTTCTATTCGGCCTGACTCTTAAAAGGAAATTTATCGAAGGCTTTCTATCGTATATTGTCGAGCACCTTGACTGTATGAAAGACTTGTAAGTCAAAAAATTTTATGAACTTGGACCTAAACAATAAAATCCTTATAAATAGCAGTTCTATTCGACTTATATATAATTCGTTATAACAAAGTATAAATATACAATAAGCAATAGCGGTGAAAAGCAATTCTATTTTCGTCCTCAATAAGAGAAAAATATTTCCAATGTCCCAATAAAGCTGCAGATCAGAAACAAAATTGTATATCGCACATTCAATTAAGAGGGCTTTCACACTTGTTTAATTGATATTGGAAAAATACTATTGATATTAAATCACATAAAATAAATAACATGTGATAACACGAACAATGACAGTGTGATAGCACCCTAATGAATGTCGTTTATTAATATAATATAATTGGCGAGATTGAAACAATTTTGTTTCTCATTTTCAGCACTAAATAACGTATTACGAGTAATAACGAACATCCAGTTATGCGGTATGTTGTACCAAATTTTAAGCACTAATGCTAAATAAATAAACATACATTTTTGCCTTCCACCTATGCTTAAAGAGCAAATATGAAATAACTGCAAGTATCATAATTAAAAGAAAAAATCCATTTCAAAAACCATCACAATTTACCAAAAAAATAAACAGGAATAATTTAGTGTCGAATAAACACGCGTTCGCGACGTGCGGCTGTCACTGAAACTGGTTTCTTTAATGTAGGTATAAGTAAAAAAAATCGAATAGGTATTTAAAAAAAAAGAAATAGTGACAATGTCTGACGTGTCATATGCTTTTCTCGAACTGACTCGATAGGAATCTGAGTCAATTATGTGAAATGCCAGCCCTAGATACCATTCTTAGATAAACGCCCGATCGGCTTAGTGTGTGCGTGAGATTCCTCACCTCGCCTTATCACATCAGCTGTTAGCGCTAATTACGAACTCTATCCGTCGGGCGAGACTTTCCGAATGGAAACTATCGACGCATCAGCAATACAAGGCTGCGTTCGTCGAAATTAATTATTAATCAAGAGATTGTAATTAAAAGAACGCGGGGCGGCGACAGGTGCGCGAATAAACATATTTAAGTTACGACCACGTTAATAATAATGGTTTTAACGCCACGGTGAACGTTTCACTAGATGGACGGATATGTCCGCATCTAAGGCGTCCAAATAATATAGATGTCTTGTTATCAATGAACCACGTACCGTTTATGTAGTTATTAACAATTTAAGAGAAAATTTTTATTTATCTCTTACTATAAATAAACCAACCAACGAATGATGGGTTTTACGGATGTGATGTTATTTCAGCTTACTTTTTTTATTCACGATATTTAATAGGCAAATAGTGTCAATAAATTGTGCAAGGAAGAAGGCTCCGGCTACTGGTTAGTAAGCGTAATTGTTAACTTGCTTAAATCATGCAATGGCGATAGAAAGCAAACCAGCGTAACATAGATATGATATTAGAAATATATAAATACAGATGTGAATGAAGAGAGATCTGCGTCGAGCGGGCATTTGAATGCGTCTGTCAAGCGACTGCCTAAAGGCGATAAGACTCAAAATCGCTCGGCAGCAAACGGCTGACAGCGGCCCGGTCGCTTGACGATAAATCGGTCGGTGGACGCGACTTTAGAACGAATATCCGCGAGCTACCGTATTGCCTCCTGAACGGAACCACGCAGATCCCAATCGCTTTCACAATATACGCATGCTTCTTGCCTCAATTTCACTTTCAATATGACGTTTTAAATTAAAATAAGACAATAAGAGCGCGGGGGGATTCGCGTATGCGTTCACTAAGTTTCCCTTATTTTAATTTAATTCCATCGTTTGTACGTTTATACCTGTTGTGAAATTTGTATCTGCAATCGTCGGCAGCTACGATGTCCATTAGCAAAATGTACTTTGCTTTTTTATCAAGACCAGAAACGCGAACTTTGTAGGCAGGAAACATACGTCTGCAAGCAACAGGAGAGAAAAACATGGGTTGGGGCCCTGCGACAGGGGAAAAGGCGGAGCGTCGATTGTGAGTCTACAAATTTCAGTAGCAACTTTCGCGCGGATACCAACTTTAGCTTGTGATCTGCCCTTTTTGTCTTTTGCGTGCGAATGTACTCGATTTTTCTGATAGATGTTTAACGCGACTGTCCCAAGCACCCCACTGGCTCAAACAACGAGCGATGAGGTGTCACAAAGTATTCGTCCGCCGCAAAAAGGCGTCGTTTCGAACGGAGACGGTTAAAAACTTAAGCAATCCTCCATTGTGCAGTTCCCGACGACGTGACACGAGAGCGGCGCGCGTGATCCAATGCGACAAGAGCAAAGCCCGGATTTATATCGCCGAACGTATAACTGCCCGAATAATTTATGTAAGAACGATTTGTTATAATTAATTACCATGCAAACGGCGCTTGCTGGCCGGCCGCTTTGTCGGCGCGTCCGCGGCCGGAATTCTCATTAATTAACAGGCATCGAAGTTAACCGGTCGCCTCTCGTTGCCGAACCACACTTAAGAGGCTCCCAACTTCTCGGATAAATCAGTGAAAGCTTTTAATGATAGAAGCGTTTGTTCCGTCTTCAAATCGGCTTTGTGCGTTTCGTGTGATTTAGTGGAATCCGTATCAAGTTGGCATCTCTCACCTCGGCCGGCGGGTGTCGCTTTTTACGCCGGTGCGGCGTTTGAGTCGGAGATATTTTAATGATATTGCCCGGCGGACGCGCGTTGAATCCCTAATCGGCGTGGCGGGCCGTACAAAGTCGTTGGCCTGCACCAGGCGAATTCGGGCGCAATTAGTTCGGGATTGAGCCCGGTGTGACATCACAAGCTAAACTGTGCTATAGAGATTCACGAGTGCGCTGACAATCGACGCTGCGCTCAAGCGGGCGGCAATCCGGCGCTGGGCGCGAGATTCTCGCCCGCGGCGACAAGCTTCTCGCGGGCGGTGGAGGTGCGCTACCTGTTGTGGAACTTATAGCGGTAGTCGTCCGCCGCGACGATGTCCAGCAACAGGATGTATTTCGCTTTCGCGTCCAGCCCGGACACGCGAAACTTCATTTGTGGAAACATTTGTCTGGAAATCGGAAGCGAACGCGTCCATTACACGTTCGGTTTGACATCTAATTGGAATATTGAACGCTGAAAATCAATGTACTATGAACACAGAGAACAAAACGCGTTGCAGTTCCGTGCAAAAGCATGATGACACAACATTTTGGATCGGCACAAGATGTATTGAATAAAACATTCTCCGACACACAAATGTGCGTCTTGGTGGACTTGGTAATGTTTTTACACGGAACGCTCAGAAAAAGAAACAGAGTAATAATTTCGATTGAACCGTTCCGTTGCCCAGTTGATAAAGTGCTTGTGTGATCTGTACTTTAGGTCTCGGTTACCCCGCGATTTCAACACAATACGTATAAAAACAGACAGAGTATTTACTGACGATTAAATTAGGCAGAACATAACTATTTACCTATGTTATAAATGAAACTAATTTTACGGATTTATCGCGTTTATTTTTAATTTTAATTCCCGACGTTTCGAACCATTTACAGCGTTCATGGTCACGGAACAGACTGAGGTGTTAGACTTCTGATTGTCATAGTTAACCCGGGCTACCGTCAGTTTTTGAATTATTAATTTTGTGTCCGATCTATGCAGAGGGAGCTAATTGTATCTTGTCTTGCAGTAGTGGTTCGTTCGGTTTCGTTTTCCAAATTAGTTTTATTTATAATGTGTAATCGCGTAAATACAAGAAATTATTATTTACCTACGGATAATAAAATAAATATGTAGATAAAATTTTTTCGTCGTTGCCAGGATCGCTACATCTTCCAGATTACGCGTCCGGACACTAATTACTACTAAGTGACTCGACTCGACACCCTCACCGCGCCAAATCTCGAGGTCTTATCTGATTGCATCTTTAGCAATGCTTGGCTACCTACTTGTCTTTCGTCGAGCGAAAGCAGTTGGAACCTTCTCGTCGACACAAAACGCAAGAGGTTACAGTATTACGAGAGGTTATAAAAAATCGCGTTCCTCTCCTCCGCGCGGACGTGTTACAGTCGATCCCTAAGGCAATTCCGATTCCACAATCAGTCCCGCATTCAAATACGGCGCGATGTGACAAAACCGTCGCGATGTTATTTCTTATTTAGGTTCCCGAAATCGACGGCCCGATGCGATCGCTGCAATTCCGCCGGAGAAAAACGCGCGGAACATTCATCACCAGACGGATGTAACACATTGAGGGCTGGCGAACGTTAACAAAACTAAAATTCACCTTTAAATTGTGCGACGAAAAAACTGTGTACATTACAGGAGATGTTTTCTACATAAGATTATATTAAATGAACAAAAGACTTGAATATATAAATTTCATTTGACGATTTGATTGTAGGGTTTGACATACGCGTAACGGTTTGTTAAGTTTATACCAACACCATCTTAGTTGACGACGCAAGTAAATTTTGATTGAAACCCATTTTTCAATTCGATTTCATAATTCATTTTGAATGTATTCAAAACATTTATTCAAACATTACAACATAACAATATCGAATATTTCGAATCATTCTACAATTTAAATATTCGATATTTCGAATCATTCGACAAGACATTCGAAGAATTCATGATCACTCGAGCTGGAGAGTGTTTGACATCACTTAGGCTATGGTCAGCTCACACCATGCGAAGTAGACATTAGCAGAGTAAAATAGCGGGAGTCTCGCGATAGTTTCACTAACGGCAACCAGTACGGCTTCAAATCGCGTCCACGGCTCACCGTCGTTTCGTGACAGCGGGAACGACACAACGAAACACTCGGGACGATATAACGTGTAACGGACGGGCTGCGACAATTAAACGACTCCCCGCGGCCGGTGACGAGCTTCGGGCTCATTAGACGGCTGATTTATCGGGCCTACGTGATGGGCACGCGGGCCGATTTGCCGACAAGCTGATGGATGCCGTGCCGCGCGGCGCGCCCCTCCGCATACAAAGTCCGCGGCGGACGCCCGCGTGTTGCTAATACGCGGCCGAGTCCGCGGCCTGGGATGAACCGCGGCGACGAGACGTCCGCGAGCGGTATTGACGTCTCATCTGTGAGGTGGTGAATTCGGTGTAACGGATTTAACTCATGTTGCTAATCCGCTGGCGAGTTCGCGGCCGGGATGAACCGCGGGCGACGAGACGTTAGTGAGCGGTATCGAAGCCTCATCTGTGAGGTGGCGGAATCTGTGTAACGGATTTAGCACGGGATTAGACGTGTCTTGAAGATGTACGATACTGTACACGGGATCGACTTTAAGGACAGTTGGACGTTGTAGAGTAACAAAAGCAAAAAAATTTGTACGATCTCATATTGATGAAAATTGGAAAACGATAAAAAAAGAGTGGGGCATAAAATATTGGTACGATATACAGTTCTGAAGTGAGTGAATGTTGATGATTCATGGAACGAAGGGTTCACGGAAAATATTTGAATAAGCACGCTAGTAGCTATAGCGAAATTTGTATTCAAAACTGGGAGCTAAGTAACTTGCTAGCTTGGTTATTGCTCGATACGAATACTGCGTCAGATGAAGCTTTAATAGTCTCGGGACTGAAAGCAAAAACATCGGTTAATACAAGATCGATACGAATATATGACAAATGACCTTAATACTAGGAACAGATTACCGTCATACTACAAATAATTCGCAGTACGAGGTCTTCGATAAATGTAACACCCGCAATTACTAGAATAGGCATTTTAATGTGGCCTTAATACTAAGCAACACTTGCGAAATGCGTGCAGAATTCAGACTTAGCAGCTCGTTGTGTCTGCATTCTCAAGATATCTATTAAAGAACTGACAAAGTGTTAGTTTAATATTTTATCACACGATGTCCAGCCAAGAACGACATTTTTCGCACCGAAACAGTTTAAAAACTACGTCACAGCTTGCCATCAGGTGGTGTGATAATGTGGCATTAGCCAGTTCGTAACGTAAGGTTCGAACTATGCAACGGACTCGAGCAAAATGAGACCTTATGATAGGATTTGTTAGTCTCAAATTATTATACGTCGTTTTTTGAATAACAATAGAAAAGATGTTTGTAGTGAAACTGGCTCAATGCTATTTATCCGTTACTGGATCTAAGCAGATCACCGCATTCTTTGCGAGCCTAAAATAGAATTAAGCATACGGCATCTGCACCTCGACTCGCTTGTTATATCATTTCTCGACGACAATAACCTTTACCTTCCTCTGGAAAAGCAAATCTATTTATTTCGTCTTTACGGCGTCTCCTTTGCGCTCTCCGTTTGCTCTTACAAGTTTTATTTAAGTAACGAGACAAGATTCGAATGCTAAAGAGTGCTTGCTTGGCTTTCCATAGTTTGCAGATTTTTTGTTCTAAACGCAGACCTATTCTTGAATAGTCTTCAGCAATTCCGGGACAAAGTTCTCTGATATAAAATTTACATATAAGGGGTGGATCAGCTCCTAGATTAGGCACTCTAGATTCTAGCATCTGCATATTGACTGAAGGTCCCTATAGCGATCCGTAATGATTATTTTTTTAAATTTATATAACACTGAGTACACAGACATAGGTGGCGCTGACGTACTTACAGGTGACAGGTGGTAAGTTTATCACCGTATGCGAATGTTACACAACTTTAAGAATTGATTTAAAGTCATAGTTACATGCCTGCGACTCGAACTCGCTAGCGTAACTCCCAATTTCCAAATCTAGTGGATTGTAGCCGTCTGTTTCAACCACCATAAATTCTTTGCTATTAAAGCGCACTGATGAAGCACGTTTCTTTTTAATGTCATTAGCTTCTTTCTTCCCCGACAGATGCCGAGTCATTACTATAGAAAAATGTTTAGGATGTAAATAAAACTTTAAATTTTCTATTGTAAACATGAAAGATATTGTTGAAACATTTAAATTTCTTTATATGTTAAAAAGGGTCTACGGGGGATCTCTGTCAAGGTGATTATTTCTTTTATTGGTGTAATCCCACCTTACCTACGGTTTTTAATAATTGTATTAAGTGTAGAGAATTTTCTGACCTTATGAAACAGTAGCCATTGCAACACAGTAGTCATTGCAATGTTTACATCTGATAGTACTTCGGACCGCAATAATTATAGGCAGCCCGCAATAATTTAAATGCCAACTAGTCGTAAAATTTTTGAAAAAAATATTTTCCTTTTGATATTTAGGAACACGCGCGTTCACAAATAGTTTTAATCGAGTGTAAATAGGCGGAGACATTTTGGATTTTGAAAAAAAATAATAAATAAGCCTTGCTATGGAAATACGCTGTTACGTTGCGTAAAAAAGACGGAACTGGTCAAAATTAACGTGCCTATTTACCCTGCCTTCTTACCCGGACCAACTCTCAGTTCCAAGAGAACATTCACCTGATTTGCAATTCAATTGGGGCTTCGTCACGGCAAATTAGACTATCCGGTAGCGAAATTTACGATCGGCGGAGGCGTTGCGGAATGATAAGATATTTAAAAAAACAACATTAGCGGTTTTCGACTACTTATGTTTATAGCCGATTAACGGCCTGTTATTCAAATAGCTATATTATAAGCGCTACAGCTTTTGTCACCTGTACTGATAAGATAAAAATATACTTAAGAGCAGTTTTGTGGCTGTTATACTCGTTTTAATATATCGTATACTATATCGTTGATACGTGTAAGAGCTTTAGGCGTTTCACCTGATGTTAAGTGATAACCGCCGCCCATTGACATTTGCTACACGCGTAGGGTTGCAGTAGTGGTGATTAAGTGGGCCCCGGCTACCTTACTCACCAGACGAGACGTAGAAGTATAACACTCCCACTTGACAGTGGTCTTCAGTGAGGTCGTGGTACTTCCCGACGGATTTGTCCATTCGGGCTACACCGAACACTGTTACGTGGACTACCACAGTGAATGTACAAAAAAAATCTAACAGATGTATAAATTAATAAATAGATATACTCGTATAAGTAAATAAATTTTATTAACGGATTCTTTCACGTTTTATTTTGGTCAACTCCTGTGGCCATGGGCTCAATGAAGTCTTCCAAAAGTCTCTAGAAATGATACTAAAACTAAACGCGAAAAAAATTATGAACTGGTTTTATCAAAATTCTTTATCAGTTTATTGCTATATTTCATAACCAAGCGTTTGTTTCTAATTGCTGCGTTTTCTCCATTCTTTCGATGTATGTAGTAATGTATAAACAACATTCAAACAACATATAAATATACTACTATAAAATGTTAAAGACAAAAGGCATGTTAATAAAAATTGCAACACCGATGCCCTTATGATGCCTTACGTGGCAAAGCGCCGACTTTCCCTCCGCAAACCACACAACGTCGCCGGGTAATCCAATACCAACTTGCCAACTAAAACTCACAACGGGCGCTTGCCAGAATACCGTGACCCATGACACGCGCGCCCCAATCACCAATGCGACGGACCCAGCTTTATCTGCGATGGCGGCGGGAGGTCAAGGCTCGCTGGTTGCCTGCCAAACCTACAAAGACACCCGACAAGGGTTTGGTGCCGCATGTAGAGGGATCAGGCGAAGCTGGTCACTGAGCATTATATACGAGATAAGCCTGTCAATCACATATCAACAGTGGCTCCTTCCACACCTCAATGCATTCCCTTGTTAACACTGTGAGTGATTCGAACGAAGCACTCGTTAATGATTATAGATACGTTCACAACACTTTCTTGTTATTAGTTCGTTGATTGGTCCTCCTTTTATTATCGGTGTCAATTTGCAAAGTTGGCAATGGCTACAGTGGTATTTAGACGACAAACAGGCCACACAACATGCTTAGTTCTAATCAGTTATTTATAGTGCTGACATTGTATTCAATTATACATTGATAGCGATGCAATGTTCGAAGACTAAGTCAAGTGACATTGTGTCCAATTGAAGATCTTTAAGTTCGGTAAAGTTTATTTATTATTAATAAAGACATTTAAGTTCGTATGACAACTTAAATTTGCAGTTTTATCACAAACTCTGAGTGCATCGGTAATTTAACTTTCACTAGAAATTTAGAAATCTCACGTCTATTAGATATAGATTTTTGAAATGTACTTTTCAACTACTTCATACTTTACATAAAAATCATTATTTTTACATTTATATTTTATATTTATATATATTTTAATAAATTACTACTTATATTTTTGATTTTATTACATCAGGAGAAGGACAGCTATATGTCAGGATCCGACTCAAAGTTGATATGATGTTAAACTACATGGTTTTATATTTATATATATTTTAATAAATTACTACTTATATTTTTGATTTTATTACATCAGGAGAAGGACAGCTATATGTCAGGATCCGACTCAAAGTTGATATGATGTTAAACTACATTACATGTGTCTGAGTAATAACACTTAATAACAGGGATTTTTACAAATACTAATTTAGATGAGAAAATATATATACCTCAGTGACTTATGTCTATTGAGTTATAAATAATTATTTCAAATTATAAACTCATCACATTAATAGGACAGTTTTTCATCATGAAATGATTTTGACAACATATAGAAGGTTATGTACATCATCGCCAAACTAATCTATGTGGGTATTAAACTGTTTGATATTAACCCTAAAGAGAAAAACGGAGACTTTAGAATCTTCGTTTTCCTTAACTTAGACCCAGTATACATATATTCGAACTCGGAACCGTAACACAGTATGTCCGGCTTCCTAGTCACTGAGGCTCAACGGACTCTAAACATATAAATGACGAAACAAGCGATAGTAAAAAGTTATGGCCGGATCGTTGAATGATTAACTCGAAGAACGAAGAAAAACGTGTAGGGTCGTTTATTCTTCAATTAATTAGTCACAGGCAGATACGCGACGTAAACTTGTACATTGTTATTCTGCCTTCCGAAACGTCTTCTATTTCGATAATCCTAAGGTCTATTATGGATCAGCCGTCGTTCTAGGGCGTCAAAAAAGTTACAAATGATAATTTCAACAGTCCAGTGAGCACCACATTTTAATTATTGGTGCCTAGAGGTACAGAGAGGGAATACTGAACTACTTCCCTTTAATAGAGCACGCTACCGCTTATTAGGATTCAAAAGATTAGAAAAACTAAAAGGTTGCGAACATTATCGTAGTCATAAATAATTATAATACTTTGTACATGCGATTAAAATTCAACTATGATTTAAATTCAAAGAAATTAATGAACTTGCTCATACAAGATCATACACATGTTATTTTATACACTAGGAAATTTAAGTTGGCTCTAGAGGTTAATGAACTTTCTTTGTTATACGTTTTTTTTAGTTTTCTTTATTACTTTAATTTGTTAGCAACTAACAATTTTAAAGCATGCTGTCTTTAAATTTATAATTTAAATGCGTATAAATTTTCTTTTCGTAACTTTAGTAGTTAAAATGTCACCGTAAAGAATAACAATCGTACACCACCGCGTGCTTAAACTAGTGAAGCAAACACTGGGTGAGTGTTTCTCGCCCCATCTAGATAACCAGGAGCTACAGAATGTACTTATGCCCCTGCAATTTTAGATAGGGGGACACTAACCTAATTGACGCCTACAGAAAGTAGAAGATTTTTTATACATATTTTGATCTTTAATTATTATAAAAATTTCAAGAACTGCAAATCTTATTAAATAAATGTTTTTAAATTTTTACAATGACTATACTTAATTAGTTGGAAGTGCGGGAATCTAAATTTCAATTATTATAAAAGTATAAGTTTTAATTATAAATCCCGTTCCTAATTAGCGGTTAAAATTTGACAGTCAGTGGGAGGTCATCGTGAAAAGTTCGCTCCAAAAGTGCCGTGGCGACAAAATGGGGTGGGGGGGGAGATCAAGGAGGGAACTTAGGGGTGGGGAGAGCGCATCTGCTCACACGTTGACGCATTCTTGTGGCTTCGGCCGAAAAGACCGGTGACACTGCGCAAGCTACATTATTTCATAAATTAAAGAAAGGACTACCTCAATTAATTACAACGACATTTCGAAATGTTGCCCGATGGAAGGTTCGAGTATGACGAACGGTTAAGAGATGGTTTTTTTTTTACTTTAAAATATTACGGGAATGATTCTGAATACAGGGTCTATTGCGTTTCTTACTTTATGAGACTTACAATAGGACATTTTGTTTTAATTAATTTAGTTTTCCTTCTTAAACACAATTAATTTTATAAAATGGTGCGATATCGATAACAATAAAATATTTCTTTCACGTGACCACTAAATCATTCTGGTATCTCAATTAACTAAGTAATTAATTTGCAAAAAATATACTTAATCTACCTATGTGGTGTTCTAGTTATACATAACGATATAATCTAACAACTTAATTATATAAACATTTTATATTAGTCAGGGAAATTTGATTGTCGTTGGCTTTTCCATTTATTTTGTAATTTTGATGATTTGAAATTGATATAAAACAACTCAATCCTTACTCAAACGCCGGGGTTAATATCCTTTTAA